CCAATGGGGGTTTCACTGATTGACCAACTGAATGAATCTGTGCCACAGTTTCCAATGGGTTTTCAAACTTTAAATCTCATTGTTGTCTGTGTCTATGGGTTATGCATATATGTTCTTTGGCTAATCTCTTCACCTTATTTCATCCAGCCGCCCCTCCCCCACCCCCCTGGACAGCTGTTGGTCTGTTCCATGTATCCACGCCTCTGTTTCTATGTCCTTCATCGGTTATTTTGTGATCACACCTTTAAGGCTTCCTGCTCACCTAGAGGACCTCTGAGGGCATTGGGCAGCCTACTCACCAACCTGTTTGGAGGATTTTCATGTCTTAACAACCAGTACAGCCATGGAGATTCCTATAGAACCGCATACAAATAGCTCAGTGTGAGATCTGAGTATATCCACTCTTCCTCCAACCTCACCCCGTATCCCACATCTCAGGGGATGCAGACTTGGACCCAGTGTAGGAGGGAACGGGGATGCCGGCACTTCCCATCTCCACGATAGGGAAACTGAGTCTGAGACAAGCCTCCCAGCCCAGTGTCCTGTTCAGGAAACCCTGCTGACGCCCAAGGGCAGCGCCTGTCAAACTCCCGACTTTCTAGAGCAGTGAAGGCGAACCTATGACACGTGTGTCAGAGGTGACACGTGAACTCATTTTTTTGGTTGATTTTTCTTTGTTAAGTGGCATTTAAATATATAAAATAAATATCAAAAATATAAGTCTTTGTTTTACTATGGTTGCAAATATTAAAACATTTCTATCTGTGACACGGCACCAGAGTTAAGTTAGGGTTTTTCAAAATGCTGACACACCGAGCTCAAAAGGTTCGCCATCACTGGGCTAGAGCGTCCTCGACAGAGTTTCCTTCACTGGGGAAGGAAAGGTTGGAATTCTTCACACTGACGGCCATTGCAATGGACGTGACATTCGTTAATATATCTCTTAAAACACGACTTCCTTTGACGTTGCCTCTTTTGATTCCCTTGTATTTTTATATCAAAGAGATTAAACCACTTTGTTGGACATTTTTCCCCAGAGCTTTAATCATGTCTCTACACAGCTTCCCACTTGGGGACACGGGAAGGACTGAAGATGAAGAGCAGGGCGGGGCTTGATGAGGTTTAACAGGATTTGCTCGAATGGGTGCCTCTCCCTGGTCCTGCGGAGCGTGGGTGTGGTACCCAGCCAGGCCTTTCTCCCTGCTCCTCCCTCCACAGGCAGTGCCCACAGACCTCTGGGTTCAAAGGGGCAGGGCTAGAATATCAACTACACGGGCCTGCATCTGCGTTTATCTTAGTCAGTGCTTTATCTCCAGCTCTTAGCACAGGAGATGGACTGTAGTAGTGGCTCAGCTAATGCTTGCTGAACAGATGCATAAATTAATACAATGGCTCCTGAACATCTCATAATGCAATATGATATGCCAGTTATATCTCAATAAAAAGAATCTCACTGCCCCTGAATAGTCTTTTGACTTGATGGGCCACAGCCCTGGAGGCTAAGGTTTCTAAAATGGGTATTGCACTTGCTCTTTCTTTGAAGAAATCTGGGTAGTAGAGGCTCCAAGCCTTTCAGCTCCAAGCTTGCCCTGCAAATCGGGGTAGCGGGTGGGGTGCTTTCCATTCTCCGATGCTTAGGCCTCTTTCTTCCTCTTTAAAATGGGGTTAATGGAATATTGTATTACGTTTCAATTCAAGGAGAACTGATGCATATGCATTTACATTTATATTTACATTTAGGTTCATATTCAGGCATTCTCTCCCTGGATCTCCATAATGGCCCCCAGGGATGGACGGGCAGAAAATAGTATTCACACTCTTTGTTTTCTTTAATATTTTATTGATTTTTTACAGAGAGGAATGGAGAGGGATAGAGAGTTAGAAACATCGATGAGACAGAAACATCGATCCGCTGCCTCCTGCACACCCACTACTGGGGATGTGCCCGCAACCAAGGCATATGCCCTTGACCAGAATCAAACCTGAGACCCTTCAGTCCACAGAACTGACGTCTATCCACTGAGCCAAACCGGTTAGGGCAGTATTTGCGTTTTATAGCAGTAAACTGAGGCCGAGGCAGGTAGGGACCATGTCTTTGGATCCCAGAGCAAGTCTGACGTCATCAAGAAATGAGACCGACTACCACAGCTTCTGGGTGTTTCTTTCAAGAGCAGCTGAGCAAGACTCAGATCTCACCTGGGCTAAGCGAGGAGCCGCTTCTGCAGATAAGCCCAGCCCCTGGGGGAACGCGCCCCAGGACCGGACTGGAGGGAGCCCCCTTTCCCATCTGCTGGACACCGGCGGCTTCCCATCTGGGCCGAGTGCCCTAGAAAACCTTTCTCTGCTTCCAGGACAGCACAAGGCCTCCTCCTCCTCCAAGAATATATGACAGTGTGTTTAAAAATAAAGAGGAAACAGTGCAGAAAATCAGCAGAAAGCTGTTTTCCCCAAAGAGCTGAGGGCAGGAGAGCAGAGCACGCTTTCCCAGGTGCCCCGGCCACGGACTCCTCTGGGGGGCACTGCGCCTGCCTGCCCAGTTTCAGAGGCTTGGGGAGCCCCAGCAGTGCTCCCCTCAGGCCTCATCTGGGTCCAGCCGCTGAGGTCCCAGGGGCGCACGGGGCCTTGGGATTCCTGGCAGGTCTCACTGTTTCTGGACATCTCCCATCGGGTTTTCCGTAAAAGTCTCCTGCCTGGGGGCAGAGCAAACTCACGCTGGGATCCTGCAAACAGCACCGAGCGCATCCCTCATTTGCCTTGGTGACTGTCGTGTCCAGGAGCAGGAGCAGGTGGCCCTGTGCAGAGTGGACAACAGATGTCCGACACAAACAGCCCTTCCTGTGCCCCTCAGTGAGATATCTGGAACTTCTGCCATCGCTCATCAGCAGAGGAAAGGGCTGCCAGCGTCACCCGAGGCAGCTGGCTCTGTGGTTAGGGGACATTCATCCGGGTTGTTCTATTGGGGATGCAGTTTCTGGGGAAGGCGAGATCCCAGGAAATAAAAATAAAAAAAGAAAAAAAAAGCTTGCTTATAAAGAGGAAGAAGGACTGAATGATAGCAGTCCCGGTCCCCAAGGTGGCTTCTTGTTGGTGACAGATGTCGTGTGTTTCCTTCCACGTCCTGCGTGGATCAGGGTTTGGGATCTGAAAAGAGGAGCTGCACACAAATGAGAGAAAAATGACACGAGATAATTTTGAAATATTGGGGGACCAGGCGGGCAAGTCCAGAAGGACTTCCTCCGACGCTCAGGCCGCTCCAACCTTTTATTTGATCTGGGGTAGCCCTAGGGTAAGATGGTTTGAATGACACATGGATTAGCTCATCGGTAGACAATTTCCAGAAATAGGCAGAATATCTGATCAATAATAATCAACAGGGATCTACACAAGTATCTAAGGAATTCAGTGAACTAAGGTGGGGGATGATGCTTCAGCTACCATTATCTAGATTAAGTGGGTGGTGTCTAGATTAACTGGGTGGTGCACAGCCCTGACCTTTGCTAGGACTTCAAAGGTTACTAGCTTTTGGGGGTCTCAGCTAGTGAAGACAATAAATGGATTCCTGCAGCTTCTCCCAGGATCAGAAGGTCATAGAACTTTCTGGAGGGAGCAGCTCATCAGTCTACGCGGGAGCCATAGAACATCCACTCTGCGGGCCACATATGGTGGGTGCTGGCGAGTGAAAACCAGAACCCAGCCCTCACTCAGCCACTCTCTGCCTGAACTTCACTTTCTCATCGGAAGGTTGGAGAGAGAATAACAGCACCAGTCTGATAGCTTTGTTGTGAAGATCTGAGATAATCTTCTAGCATCTTACATGGTGTGAGCAGAACATCAGAAAATCAGAGCCAGTACCACAGCTTCTGGGTGTTTCTTTCAAGCGCGGCTCACACTCCAAAAATGTTTTACAGCCTTTTAAAAAATTTATTTTTGAGATACAACTGACATAGAACATGGCATTAGTTTTAGGTGAACAATATAATGATTTGATATGTGTATGCAATGCAAAATCATCACCACGGGAAAGTCTAGGTACTGTCCTTAGCACTTCAGCACACAGTTACAGTATTTTCTCTTATGTGAGAACATCTAAGAGCTACTCTCTCAGCAACTTTCCAGTAGACGATGCAGCGTTGTTACCTATAGTCACCATGCTGGACACTGCACCCTCTGGACCTACCTTATAACTGAAGTTTGTGCCTTTTGAATCCTTCACCCATTTCTTTAAATATATATATGTATACATACATATATACATATGTGTGTGTATATATATATTGGTTTTGAGAGGGAAAGGGAAAGGAATAGAGAGATAGAAACATCGATGAGAGAGAGGAAGTGATTGATTAGCTGCCTCCTGCAAGGTCCCCACTGGGGATTGAGCCTGCAACCCAGTCATGTGCCCTGACCAGGCATCTGCTCTGACCAGGAATTGAACCAGCCACCTCTTAGTTTCTGGTTGACGCTCAACCACTGAGCCATGCCAGCCACCAGCCGGGTGAACCCTTCACCCATTTCACTCCCTCCCTCCCCCTCCCTCCTGCCTCTGGCAACCACGGAGCTTACATTCTAATGGAGGGAAAGAGACTATTAGAAATGAACATGATGTGTAAGCAAACAATACAGTATTTATGACAGAGAGTACGGGATCCTACTCCGATGGGTTGTTGTGGATACAAATGACAGTCCATGTATAATATGTGGGCTCTGGGGAGAATTTAGTAAGTTGTTGCAATTGTAATTTTTTAAATCGCTCCCAGATTTCTTTAACTCCCTTAACCACATCATGCCTACTTTGCACCTAGGAACTGTTCATTGATTCCTTCAACAAACACCTATTGACCCTCTATTATACCTCAATGACCCTGTACTAGTCACCAGGGATACAAGTCAATCATTAAGAAAACATGTTCCCTTCCCTTGAGAATCCCACAGTCTGGTCGACTGCACATAGAAGAGAGGCCTTGGTGAGCTCAGAGGTGGGAGTGACCTTGAAGTCCGGTGTCTCTAAGAATCAGAATAGTCCACTTCATGATGATGTCTTTATTTTTAACTCAGGTGTCCCAGCGATGGCTGGGGATTCCAGGAATGCCATGAACCAGAACATGGAGATTGGAGTCACTCCCAGAGACCCCAGGAAGATCCCCAAACAGGCTCGCGATTACGTGCCCATCGCCACGGACCACACCCGCCTGCTGGCCGAGGGCAAGAAGCCACGCCAGCGCTACATGGAAAAGACCGGCAAGTGCAACGTGCACCATGGCAACGTCCAGGAGACCTACCGGTACCTGAGCGACCTCTTCACCACGCTGGTGGACCTCAAGTGGCGCTTCAACCTGCTGGTCTTCACCATGGTCTACACCATCACCTGGCTCTTCTTCGGCTTCCTGTGGTGGCTCATCGCCTACATCCGGGGCGACCTGGACCACGTTGGGGACAAAGAGTGGATTCCCTGTGTCGAAAACCTCAGTGGCTTCGTGTCGGCCTTCCTGTTCTCCATCGAGACGGAAACCACCATCGGGTACGGCTTTCGGGTGATCACGGAGAAGTGCCCGGAGGGCATCATCCTCCTGATGGTGCAGGCCATCCTGGGCTCCATCGTCAACGCCTTCATGGTGGGCTGCATGTTTGTCAAGATCAGCCAGCCCAAGAAGAGAGCCGAGACGCTCATGTTCTCCAACCACGCGGTCATCTCCATTCGGGACGAGAAGCTCTGCCTCATGTTCCGCGTGGGGGACCTCAGGAACTCCCACATCGTGGAGGCCTCCATCCGGGCCAAGCTCATCAAGTCCCGGCAGACCAAGGAGGGGGAGTTCATCCCCCTGAACCAGACCGACATCAACGTGGGCTTCGACACCGGGGACGACCGCCTCTTCCTCGTGTCGCCGCTCATCATCTCCCACGAGATCAACGAGAAGAGCCCTTTCTGGGAGATGTCCCGGGCCCAGCTGGGTCAAGAGGAGTTTGAAATCGTGGTCATTCTGGAAGGGATGGTGGAGGCCACAGGTAAGACACTTCATCTTCCTTGGCCGCCCCACGCCCAGGAGCGTAGGCCACTGGGATTGCAGAGGGTGGAGGTTCCTGCCTGAGAATCCTGAGCTGGCAGAGTCCGCCAGCCGCTCCCGAAAGTGTGACCTTGTTGCTCAAGGTCAAGTAATAACAACAGCTGGGGTTCATCGAACCCTCCCAACGTTCAGGCCAGGCTCTGAACTTTCAACACGTAAGATTGTTCCGTGGGTCCCAGGTTAGGACACAGGCACAGGCAGGGGAGTTATTATTTGTCCAGGTTGTAGGGTTAAGATTCGTGCAGGAGAGGTGCTACCAAGTTGTAGAGTCAAGATTCACACCGAAGCAGGGACCCCAACGTTGTCACGAGTTTCCCACAGGCTAATCCGCCTGCCTCTTCCCAGCCTGGCCCAGGTGTCTACCCGAGAGGAGCAGTGTGATCAAATGACTTTGGGGATCACGGGGTTAAACAAAGGAGATCTGGTTCCTAACAAAGGGACTTGATGGTGTCTTTCCATGCTGTGAATTGCTTGGTGAAGAGAGGAAAGTGAGCTGCATTTCCCAGACTCAGGGATTTCCCAAGTCTCAGAATCTTTTTTTTTCTTCTTTAATATATTTTTATTGGTTTCAGAGAGGAAAGGAGAGGGAGAGAGAGATAGAAACATCAATGATGAGAGAGAATCATTGATCGGCTGCCTCCTGCACACCCCACACTGGGGATCCAGCCCGCAATCCGGACATGTGCTCTGACCGGGAATAGAACTGTGACCTCCTGGTTCATAGGTCCACACTCAACCACTGAGCTATGCAGGCCCGGCTCAGAGTCCTGTTTTTGAAGAGACACCTAGGTCCCAGACCTGTGGGAGGGGGCTCTTCTAGCTCCTCCCCCTGCCCCCAGGAGCCTGCCCCCAGCTTCCGGCTCAGTGAACACTGGGTGTGCAGAGAACTCTCCGCATCCATGTATGCCCAAGCCATGCCCTCTCCACAGACAGCCTGGCACTGCCCTGCTTAGCTGTTGACTCTGATAGGCAGCTGGCAGCCGCCGAGTGTCCTCATTCCTCAGCCACACGGAGCTCTGCGTGGGGGTCTGGGGAGTCCTGGTTGGAGGAGTCCAAGCCCCACACCCACCGTGGCCGGATCCCTTGGATGAGGGGCCTTCTGGCCAAACCTGCACCTGCTCCTTAGTCACCTCCCCTCACTCCTCTTACTACTTTCTCCTTTTTTCACTCAGTAGACGGAGCACTTGTAGAAAACTCACTTGTAGAAACATTTTTCTCATTTTTGCAACAACACCGCAGGGCTGGCTTCATCTGCAGGGGGCAGCTTCCAGCAGACGAGGTGGTCACACTCCGGCCTTCACTTACAGATCTAACGCCTGGTCCACCATACCACGCTGCCCCAAATGTTAGGGGCCTGTCACACCGGTGGCCAAACAAGCCGTCCGCACCTTCCAGAAAGCTGGCTGCTGGGTGGGCGAGCCAGGCGGGGGCAGCCACAGAGCTCCCCTGCGGAGCCAGTGGGACGTGGCTGGGGATGCTAATGGGTCCCAGGGGCCGGTGCAGCCAGGCCGCTTGGCCATCTGCTGGGCCGAGCCGGGCCAGGCAGCATGTGGCAGCAGCTGCAGGAGCCCCTGGGACTGAGGGCAGTCAGGGTGCCAGAAGCAGCCTCCTCCAGGCTGGGGCTCACAGGTTGTGCTGCCCTTGGTGCGGGGCTCAGGGTCAGAACACAGGCTGAGTTTTTGCAGGAGGAGCTCAACTCCAAGGCCACGAATGAGGGGTCAGATCAGACCCATGGGGACAAATGGGAAGGCAGGCATTGCCCTGGCCACCCCCCTGGCCACCCTCACTGCCACCTGAAGCAGAGGGAGTGGGTTTGGAGCCTGCACAGCTGACTGTGGTCATCTGGCCTCCTTCAAAGTCAGTGGCCTGCAGTTGACTCGACCTTTCTGGGGACCTTCTCCCCTGCCATGACCTGGGCTCCCCTTGCTGCTGTCCTTGAGGCTGCAGGGAGGCCAGGGAGATGAAGGAGGGAGGCCACCCATATCTGACCCAATCAACGACTTTTATGGCTTGATGGCCACACGTACAGAGCCCGGTGTGGGCTGTGATTCAGGCCCGGGTTTGCCCAGCACAACTCTGCTATCATCTGCCTCTGAGACAATGAGGATTCCAATCTCACAGGGTCATTGGGGGATTGAACGATTAAATGAAAAAACATCTACAGCATCGTGCCTGGCACCGGGGGCGGAGTGGGGGGGGAGGCTCCTGCCATTTCCAAATGCATTGGGAGAGGACCACGAGGGCCACAGGTGGGATCTCTAGCTGCAGGGTCACCCCCTGTCCACCCAGGATGGGGACAGAAGACCAGGCAGAGCCGCAGAGGCTGGACCCACAGGCGCTGCGGAGGCCCTGCCCGCTGTCTTTCCTGAGGCCCAGAATCTGTGACAGCTGACCTGACAGCTGGTAGGCTGCTTGGTACCAGCTTGGGCCCCACAGCTCTGCTGACCCTGGGGGTTGGACAACCAGGGGCAACGACTAAATGGCAAGGCCTGACCCAGGCAGGCCCCTCCCGCACCCCCAGGGCAGAGAGCAGCCCAGATGCCGGAGCCCGCGGTGGGCAGCGTGCACTGGGGTGGCCCAGCATGGAGCACAGACTGCTGGGAAGCAGCCTCTGACCTGCGAGGGTTCGTTGAGACCCCCTCCCGCCAAAGGCCAAGCTGCGGGCTTCTCCTCCAGTCCGCAGAGAGCACTGGCTCGTCCCTTCCGTGGGCAGAAGACTCCGTATCAGAGTGGGGCCTTCTTCCTGCCCTGAGCACAGAGGCTTCCTGGCCCATGAAACACAGTTCCCCTCCCTCTTCCCCTCTCCTGAGAGCAAGTGACACCCCAAAATAACATGGGCTTGCCAGGCCCAGTGGACAGGGAACAGAGGCATTGGAGCATGCTCCCATCAAGGAGCCAGCTGTGTGTGTGTGTGTGTGTGTGTGTGTGTGTGTGTGTGAGAGAGAGAGAGAGAGAGAGAGAGAGAGAAGGGAAGAGAGAGTTTTCTGCCCATATGTGTCTACTCAAAACAATCCCCATGTGTCCTAAATGCCTGTCTGCTTCTCCGCATGCACTCCCTCTGAATCACTCTGGATATGTCTTTGTTCTAGCTCTTTCCCCGCCTCTTTTCGTCTCAGTCTTCTAGACCTCAATGCTGTTTTCAGGAGTCATGTCCATAGCTCCGACTATTCCAGAATTATCCATTCCAGTCTCCAGGAACCCCTGCCAGAATCTTGCATTTAATTTGTTACTTTCTGTCTCACACCTTGAGCTCCTTCAGGTGTGCACAAAGTAGCGTATTTAGCTTAGCACAAAGTAGATGTTCAGCAAATGCTCGATGAATGATCAAGTGGTGGTGGGTGGCTGGATGGGTGATGGGTGGATAGATAATGATGGGTGATTGGGTGAATAGATGGATGGATAATTAGGTGGTTGGATGGATGGATATATGAATGATGGGTGATTGGGTGAATAGATGGATGGGTAATTAGATGGTTGGATGGATGGATGGATGATGGATGGATGGATAGATGAATGATGGGTGAATGAATGAATAGATGGATGATAACTGCATGGTTGGCTGCATGCATGGCTGTGGCCAGTCCTAATACATGTACCCTCTGTTCTGCAGGCATGACTTGCCAAGCACGGAGCTCCTACATGGATACAGAGGTGCTCTGGGGCCACCGGTTCACGCCAGTCCTCACCTTGGAAAAGGGCTTCTATGAGGTGGACTACAACACCTTCCATGACACCTATGAGACCAACACGCCCAGCTGCTGTGCCAAGGAGCTGGCGGAAATGAAGCAGGAAGGCCGGCTTTTCCCGTGCCTCCCCAGCACCCCCCTGCCGGGAAGCTGTGCGAAAGCAGAGCTGGATGCTGAGGCTGAGCAGGATGGAGAGGACCAGCTGGAGGGGCTGAATGGGTCCCGGGAGACCAGGGGCTTGGTGTAAGGGCTGCCCTCTCCCCGCAGCCTCCCTCACTGGCTTCTATGAGCTCAGATGCTGCAGCGCCAGGGCTGGGCTGGGGTGGACTTGCTGAGTGCCATGTTTGGGGGACTCTGTGGGGAGGAGTAGTATCTCCATCCTCAGACCCTCCCAGCTCAGGGCCTCTCCAGACAGGTGGCCTGCTGCCTGGGCCCCCGAGGCAAAGCTGCCTCTTCTCTCCCAGCCTCTGTGGGCACTGGCTAAGGACCAGGCCAGGGCGGGATTCCCCACAATGAAAGTTTCAGTGTGGCCTCTGCCCTCACACACCTCTGTGAGCTGGCCCGAGTCACCTCCCTCCTCGGGCCTCACAGACCCACTGGCAGCCCCCTGCTAGGGTGGACACCTAGAGAGGGCAGTCACCCCATCCCCTCATTCCTACCAGCCTAAGGCTCGTCATGGATTCAGGGAGGAGAGGTTCTGCCCTCTTAGAGGCTCAAACACCCATCCTAGATGGAGGTCACAGACTTCATGCATCAGGGTGGGTCCAAGTCATGCAGGGACTGCCTTGCTGATCTGAGACCTGTAACCACTATTGCGCGCTGCAGAGAACAGGGCCTTGATGGTGTCTCGTGATCCGTGAAGGGTGTGTGTTTCCTCCGCTGAGCTCTGCGCGTCCAAGGCCGCCTGCTGGATCCGTCACCTCCTTAGCGTGACTCTCAGAGGGTGGCCTGGGCCACAGAGCTCCTCTGAGCACCTGGACAGTGTCTCGGCTTCCTCGCGGCCACCCCCAATCACACTGTGGCCTGCACCTCCCATCAAAGGGAGAATCCAGACGCCCAAGAATCTCAAAGTACTTCTGCCCTTCGCTTTGGTTTTCTTTTACCTCTCAGAGAGCCTGTGGCAGCTCCAGGGAGAAAGGAAGCCGGGGTTCAGAGGGCCAGATGAGCCCGTCGGGGTCCCACCAAGGTCCCACTCAGGGTCCACCCATCACTTCTGCCGGGCCCCAGGAATGGGGGAGAGGGAAGGACAGCAGAGAGAAAAGCAAGCAAGCAGCATTTTTAAGTAAAAGCATCAGCACCCATCATTGACTGAGGTGTCTGACTTCAGGGCACAGCACATCTTTGTTAACCAGCGAATTAGGGGGATGGGAGGCAAAAATGAGAGGTGACTGCAGGGGCAGCTGCACCTTTAAGCCCAGGAGGGACCCACTCTCAGCTGCTGGTGCCAAGAAACCTCGGGCCTGCCCTCCAGGGGGCAGGGGTCGTAGAAGGCGGCGGGGTGGGGGGAGCAGGGATGGCACCCAGGGAAGGGGGAGGGGAGGGCTGCCTCCTCCCATTTTGCAAACATGGGGTGAGGGGCATCAGTGGGAGAAGGAGCGGGTGAACTTTAGAGAGAAAAGAGCCTTGAAACCGACAGCTTTGGAGGGTTTCTCTTCTCCGGTAGAGATGGCTCAGAAAGAGGACAGGCGGGTGGATGGACAGACCGACAGTGCAGATGGTCATGTCGATGGATGGAGCACTGTCGGTATGTGTTGAGGCAGACAGACTTCTGATTTGCTGACCTAGACCAGGAGAGAGATTTCAAAGGGCCCCCAGCCTTAGAGTATGGAGGCCACACCCACAGTCTACACAGCTCTCCACTGGCCTTTGGAAATAGAAGCATAATCCAGCACCAAACGTGAAGCCCCCTCCCTGGGAGTCAGAGCGAAGCTGCCTGAGGCCGAAAGTTGAGGCCCAGCAAAGAGAACTGTGTTTGGTCCTGGGGCAGGTGAGGGCGGAGGCAGGCAGGCAGCCTGAGATGGGGACTGGTGCTCCTGGCTGCCACCCTCAGGGCAGCGGGAGCCCTGTGCTTGGGCACATAGTGGGGGTCTTCCCCAGGGGCATGGCGCTGAGCCAGGGTTCCAGGTACCCTTCTTGGGGAAGCAGGTGTTGGGATGGGCTGGAACCTGCCCTGGGGGGTGGAAGCAGGCAGCCTGCAGGCCCAGGGGGAGCAGGCATGCAGTTAGGAATCAAGCAGGAGCCCATTCCTAAGATTGGAGGGGAGCTGTGGCAGGAACTCACCCCAGGCCCACCAGGGCCAGCGCTTACACAGCAGGACGGTTGCCCGCAGCCAGGCCTCCCACCCGCCTTCATCACCCCGCCCAGTGCCTGCAGTGAGGCAGCGAAGCAAGGACCGGAAACGATGGAGAAAGGAGCCTTGTCGCTGGCCTGGGTCTGGGCCTGGGCCTGGGCCTGGTTCACCTCTCCACCTGGCCAAGGAGATGCCTCCAGGTGTCGGTCTCCGCATGGGCCTCCAGGAACCCAGACCACGGCTCTCTCCAGGAACCCAAACCACGGCTCTCTGCCAGGAGAGGAAGGGATCAACTGGATCCTATTCCCAGGCTCCCTGCCTGGCTTAGTCACACATTCATCCAAGTGGGCCCGTTAGCTGCTTCCTCTCCTAGAGACACACATGCAGGCCTGCCGTTCATACCCCTGGGAGATCCTTCTTCATAGCAGTTGCTCCAACTGAAGCTTGACAAGTTCTCCAGATGGTTTTACGGAAGCTCTCGAGCAGACACGGACTAGGTACTAAATGTGGTCGGAAGGCCAGGGCACCAGGGGTTCACTTTAAAGCACGTGCCTGCACACCAGCCACTGGGGGTCGCGGCCCCGCATTGCATGGCTCAGGGTCCACCCATCACTTCTGCCGGCCACAGAGAGCTGGGCCAGGCTGTGAGGTGGGGCCACGGTCATTCCCACAGGCCTCAACATCTCCCACATCCCAAGCGTTAGGTCCCTGGTCAGACCCTGAGAGCACTGGGACCCCAATATCCTTGTCCCTCCTCTCTGAGAACAAACATCCCCCGTGAGGGGAAGGCCTGGGGACCTCAGAAGAAGGTAAGTGCCCCCTAGTCCTCTCCCATCCACCTGACACCTGACAGGTGTTGACACCACTACCGAAGGGACTCTGTTCCCGGGCCAGGGTGGGGTGGGCATTGCCCAGGATTCCGACGCCGTCCTGGCTGGGCGGTCAGAGCCCACCTCTGTCATTGCCTTCTGCTGCTTTGAGACCATGGCCTCAGCATTGACCTTGATGGAGGAGAAAGAGCCCTGGTCAGTCTGGGGGGAACCCTCCCTGCCCATGATCTGTGACAACTGGGCACCTTCTTGCACATGACTTAGCCCATGCCTCGCTTCCCAGCAGGCCTTGCGTCTCTTGGGAATTGGGAGCCATAGAAACTTGATTCTTTTTTTTTTTTTTGTATTGACGTTGTCCCCAACAAAAACAGCTGGCCTGCGGTCTTTCAGGAACATGCCCTGAATCAAACACCTCTGCCCATGCACCATTCCCGAGCACTGCTATGTGCCCAGCCGTGGGCGGGCCACTTCACCTGGGTGATTGCATTTCAATCTCAAAACACTGCAGAGAGGCCCTTAGAAACCCTTGTTACCAATGAGACAGCTGAGGTCCAGAGAAGTTAATTAGTTTGCTCAAGGCCACACAGATAATGGCGGGTGCCACGCGCCTCCCAAACAAACACAGATGGGCACCGTCCTGCACAGCACCCACGTCTGGGGCATCTGGCCGAGCTCAGGCAGCAGGAGTCGGACGCCCCGCCTCCCCAGATGGCCGGCTTGTGTGCCGCGCTGTGCGGGAGAGCCGCAGCCTCTATCCACCAGCGGGTCCTCCTTGGTAGGAGATTCCTAGAGCATGAATGAGCTGTGGGGAGAGATAAGATGGGGACACACTGCTCCGGGGAGAAGCCAGGTAAGCTCGGCTTGGCTGTTGCTAATGGCATCTCCTTAAGCTGCCTCCTAGGTCAAGTCTTTCTCCCTGGGTAGGATTTGTGAATCCTACTCACAGCAAAGGACCCACCCCTAATACCATCACATAGGGGTCAGGGTTTCAATTTGGGGGGACACACATTCCGCCTACAGCAAGGCATAAGCAGGTTAGTGCCTGTGGCCTGGGCCCAAGCAGGTGCAGGGCCTCTATACCAGCAGTGGGGACACTGAGGGTGGAGCTGCCTCCATGGTGTGATATAACATAGAATCATAAGCTACAGCCAGGAGGCTCTGGGACAGCGGGCAAGAAGTGGCCCTTCAATGGACACATTTGCTGGCCAAGCCTGGGTCGCAATGTGGGGAAGGGGAACTAGACACACATCCTGTATAATAGAACCCTAATATGCAAATTAACTGAACGGTGGAACGACTGACTGGTCGCTGTGACATGCACTGACCACCAGGGGGCAGACGCTCAACACAGGAGCTGCCCCCTGGTGATCAGTGAGCTCCCACAGGGGAGCGGGCCTAAGCCAGCAGGCGGACATACCCCGAGGGGTCTCAGACTGCGAGAGGGCGAAGGCCAGGCTGAGGGACCCCACCCCTCCCACCCCTCCAGTGCACGAATGTCGTGCACCGGGCCTCTAGTTTGTAATAAAAAGCAAGAACCTGAACATTCCCCTCAGCAAACCTGCCCTGGCCCAGGAGGTCCAGACTCGGCCTGTGCCAGTCAGAGGACTGGCCAGAGACACTCCCTGGGTGTCCCTGTGGGCCCTGCGAGATGCCAGCCAGAAAGTGTGTTCACTCCTTTACGGCAAATAAATGTCTAGGAAGGAGTTTCAGAAACAGAAATCCTGTTGAGGTTTTCCAAGGGGACTGCTTACCTTTCCTCAGAGCTGCTACGAAAGCGACCTGGCCTCCCATAGTGGAGGCACAAAGCCTACACCACAGAGGAGGGCTCGGTGAGAGTGGGCACATCAGCCTACGCACTGAGCCTCACTTCTGCGTGGCCAAGTCGAGGGCGGAGGGGGTGAGGTTGCTGGAAGTAAGAAAGTAGTGACAGGCACATGCAGTTAGGATCCCTCGATGTGCAGACACTGACTGTCATTGTCACAGTCCACGTTGCCTCTTAGATAAACGCGCTGGTGGAGGAGGCTGCCGTCAGCCGTGTGATGGGAACCTCACAGCGGGAGCCTGTTCTCCGTGAACCTGAGGAAGCCATCGGCGGGTCGGTGGGGAATTCACCACCATCTGTCCACTCGCTGAAGGACAGCCCAGCTGAGTCCGCTCCACGGAGCAGATGGGCAAGAGGGAAGTGCTTGCTGAACCCAGACTGCACCCTGAGGGTGGAAACGTGGCTGCCT